AAAATGCACTTCTAAAATTTGTTATCTTAAATATTTAATAAAAATAAAGAGAATATCTTTTTTTGGTTAGTACTCCATCTATTTCATATTAACTAAATTTTTTAGGACTACTATTCAAAGTTTAAGATGGATGTTTGAATGTTTTACATTTATTAGGACATAAATTACACTACTTTTCCTATTTATTTGTCACATTTTTAGTTTAAGGTGCATTAAAAAATTAAGTTTATTATTCTACCCTTATTTAATTTTTTTTTGAAGTTAACTTTTCAATAAATGAATATGAATTAATTTATTTTAATTAATTAATTTGACAGAGTAACATTTCACTTAATTTTTCTATGTTGATCAAATATACATTTTCAAGGCTAATAACTCACAAGGATAAAATAAGAAGAATATTATAATTCATGTAGTGATTTTATGAAATGACAAATATTATGAACCAACTATTTATAATAAAAATAACATATAAAAAAGAATGAATAAAATATTTACGATGTCAGAAAAGGCAATAATGAAAATTATGATTTAAATTATTTCCTCTATGTTGTTTTCCTTAATACTCTATGAAATTAGAGGGAGTAGTGTTTTCCAAAGACATTACTTTTTATGTGCAACACAACAAAAGCACCTATATATTGAAATTTCTATGTGAATAATATTTCTATCACTATTTAGTTTTTCACTTTAAAAATGATACAAATATTAAGATAGTAACAATTAACATAGTGAAGTTATAATTTTACTTTTATTAATTATGATTTAAAAAATAATGAATTAAAACTTGGAAATTTTCAAGAAGTTTAAATAAGGATATATAAAAAAATTGTCCTTTCTTAATTTGTTAAAATGGACAAGTAAATAGGAACAACTAAAAAAGAAAATATGGACAAACAAATAAGGATAGAGAGAATATTATTTTTAAAATTTGATGGAATTTGTTTTATAAATTGCTGATTGAAAGTGAAGTCCAACCAATTCTTGACGGACGTTGCCGTCTCTGTAACATTATTTCAATAACATACTTTTACTCCCTCTTTTCTATTTAAAAAGCATTGCTTGTATTTTTAGAAAATGACAGCCGTTTGTCCAGTTGTATCGATTATATATACTTAGATGTCGTCTTCTAAACGTTAAGTTGCGTTATTAAATTTAAAATATTAAACCCGTCTCAGGTGGTGTCCACCGAGACGTTAAGTTGAGTTATTAATTTTAAATATTGAATTCGTCTCTGGTTACAGGTGGTGTCCACAGAGGCTAGGGCAATGTACAATGTTGGTTTAGCAGGTTTAACATATTGGTCTCCAAATGTCAATATTTTTCGTGACCCGAGATGGGGAAGAGGCCAAGAAACACCAGGAGAAGATCCAACACTCACCAGCAAGTATGGTGTAGCCTATGTCAAAGGCTTACAACAAACAGATGATGGCAGCACAAATAAGCTCAAGGTTGCTGCTTGTTGTAAGCATTATACAGCTTATGATGTTGATAATTGGAAAGGAATCGAAAGATACAGTTTCAATGCTGTGGTTAGTGTCAATTTTTACTTGTATATACACTAATATATAACATCTTAAATTAAATTACAGTAATAACGTATAATTAATAAGATTATAAGATAGTCGACACCTATTGTGAGTAGGTAAGACAACAAGATTTAGATGATACATTTCAACCTCCATTCAGAAGTTGTGTACTTGAAGGAGCTGTAGCCAGTGTGATGTGTTCGTATAACCAAGTCAATGGCAAACCTACCTGTGGTGATCCGAATCTTCTTGCTGGGATTGTAAGAGGAGAATGGAAATTAAATGGGTATAATTTGAAGCTTTCTCGATTTTTGCTTTCCAAAGATGAATAAATCCAATGCACTTACATAAGTATGCCTAAAAACAGATACATAGTCACAGATTGCGATTCATTACAAGTGATATTTAAATCCCAAAACTACACTAAAACACCAGAGGAGGCTGCTGCTTTGGGTCTAAATTCAGGTAATCGGTCATTTTCAAATGTTTGGTGATTTCAAATCTTATAATCCAAACATTTTTTTGTATATAACAGGGGTGGACTTGAATTGTGGATCTTGGTTGAGTACATATACTCAAGGTGCTGTTAACCAAAAACTTGTGAATGAATCAGTTATTGATAGAGCTATCTCGAATAATTTTGCAACACTAATGAGACTTGGATTCTTTGATGGTAATCCAAAAAGCCGTATTTATGGAAACCTTGGCCCTAAAGATGTTTGCACCCCAGAAAACCAAGAGCTAGCTCGTGAAGCTGCAAGACAAGGGATAGTCTTGCTGAAAAATACTGCAGGATCGCTACCTTTAACTCCGACTGCCATCAAATCATTGGCAGTCATTGGTCCTAATGCTAATGTGACAAAAACCATGATCGGCAATTATGAAGGTACATTTGTATCATCATTTGAGCACTGTTGTTACAGTTTACTTACAAAGAGTTTTTCAATTATATCTCGATTTTGCAGGTATTCCATGCAAGTACACAACTCCGTTGCAAGGTCTAACAGCCTCAGTTGCCACAATTTACAAGCCAGGATGTGCTGATGTGTCTTGCAACACTGCCCAAATCGATGATGCTAAGCAAATAGCTACCACGGCTGATGCTGTAGTTTTAGTAATGGGATCTGATCAATCTATTGAGAAAGAAAGCCTGGACAGAACAAGTATAACTCTTCCAGGACAGCAATCAATTCTAGTAGCTGAGGTAGCTAAAGTTGCCAAGGGACCTGTAATCCTTGTTATCATGTCTGGAGGTGGAATGGACGTACAATTTGCTGTCGACAATCCTAAGATAACAAGCATTCTTTGGGTTGGTTTCCCTGGAGAAGCCGGCGGTGCTGCCTTAGCAGATGTTATCTTTGGATATTATAACCCAAGTCTGTCTCTTATTTCAAATTTTAAGATGTGTTTATCTTTCCATGAAAAAGTGCCTTAAACGTTTTTGTTCTATCTTACAGGTGGAAGGCTCCCAATGACATGGTATCCACAATCATATGCAGACGTTGTTCCAATGACTGATATGAACATGAGGCCGAACCCTGCCACAAACTACCCTGGCAGGACTTATAGATTTTATACTGGTCCAACTGTTTTCACATTTGGTCATGGATTAAGCTACTCTCAGTTCAAACACCATCTTGATAAAGCGCCACAATTTGTCTCCCTCCCTCTCGGGGAAAAACATACTTGTCGTTTGAGTAAGTGCAAGACTGTTGATGCGGTTGGGCAAAGCTGCAGCAATATGGGATTTGACATTCATCTAAGAGTTAAAAATGTAGGGAAGATAAGTGGAAGCCATATAATTTTCTTGTTCACTTCACCACCCTCAGTCCATAATGCACCTAAGAAACATTTGTTGGGGTTCGAGAAAGTTCATTTGACACCCCAAGGAGAAGGGGTTGTTAAGTTCAACGTCAATGTTTGCAAGCATTTGAGTGTACATGATGAGCTTGGAAACAGGAAAGTTGCATTAGGACCACATGTTCTTCATATAGGAGATTTGAAGCATTCCTTGACTGTGAGGATTTGAGCAGTTCTCCTCAACATATTTCTCTCAAAAGAGAAGGGAAAATATCACAAGTAGATGAAAAAAAGAATTTCCAAACTTGGAATTTGTTTACAGAAATGTAACAAGTTTCTTAGTTTTCGCTTAATTGTCCATCTTAAGTAGGGAAATAGCCTCGCTACCTTCCAAAGTAAGGGTAAGGTCTACGTACAGACTATTCTCCAGGCTCCACTTGTGGGATTACGCTGGATATGTTGTTGTTGTCCATCTTAACTAGAAGAATGAGAAGTGAAGTCCTCTCATTTTATAGTATATTACTCTTATCTACAATTTCATATATATATTTGAACAAACTGGAAAATGGCAACCAAAGTACATAAACTAGTGATCTTGTCACTGGAAAATGGCAAAACAAAGTACATACACAAGAACTAGTTGGTTTATTAATGAAGAGAACATATATAAATCAATAACATGATTTGTAAAAAATTGAGTTAATATTTCAAAACGTCACTCATCTTTGAAAATTTATCTAATAAAATCGTTCATCTCTCAACTTAAATTTTTTTATCAATAAAATCACTTAAGTAAATTTACCATTAAAAAGCATTTGATATAGCAAAATAAATTATTCTTTAAAATCGTATCAATATAAACCCTATAAATAAATAAATAAAATAAAAATCATTAATAAACTTTTACGAGCAAACTTAATTAATGAAAGAAATGTATTTATTATATTAAAGTATGTTAGCATTATGATATTATTATTATTATTTCCAAAAAAAAAAAGCACTTTCACAAAACTGACTAGTTAAAACAAAAAATTATGTTGAAAAATTAATATTATAAAAGATGATCAAGATTTACAAAGCAAAAATAATTTTAAGTTTCAATGAAAAAGTATTATAATATATAAAATTATTTTTATATTTCTTTTTTAAAAAAATATTGCAAATGAAAAAAAAAGACAAATTTTATTCGAGCACTAATATTTAGCTTTTGCTTTGTTGAAGAAAATGTGTCAGCTATGATATATCTAGAAAGTAATTACTCGAGGTTACAATTTTAAATCTTAGAACACTTATTCGATCTAACGAGTCCTAATCAGATTTATAAATACAAATTTTATCGATAATTTGTCAAATTTAATTCTAAGAAACACATATACTAGTGGAAGCTCCTAATTATTTCTTTTTATTTAGTACTTCATTAATTAAGATAATATAAAAGTATTTGTTTCAGTAATTAAGGTTACCCATAGAAAAATTAAATTAATTTTTTTTAATTTTATATATTTGTATGATCTATGTTATATGATATAAAAAAAATTAATGATAAATTTATTAAGTGATTTTACTGATACAAAAATCTAAATTGAGTGTTCTAGTTCATATCAATTAAACAATTTTAAAAATACAATAATAATAGAGTGGCGTTTTGAGATATTTGTATTGAATTCTTGTATAGCCTGAACCCGAAAATGAAGGCTCTGTTTTGCAGTGTCTCTCCAAAGAGAAATTGTTGACGAAAACTATAAATATCACGTCTTCTTCACAGCTAAGAGTTAGGGTTCACAATGTCGATACCAGTAGATCAATTTTGCTTCTAAACCTAAACGGATTCTGAAAATTACTCATCTCAATTACAAATACGCACAAATCACACGCATTAGGTATTTCTCGAAGCACATCTACAGATTTGGATGAATGAATTGACATCTCCTTTGAAGTTTTCTTCTCAGTTGATCAAATTTATTGTAAATTTCCGCATGCATTTTTCAAAATTCTAAATATATTTTTATCTGATTGTTCCTCACACTGTAATGCTTTTTAGCGGGAGGTCAAAAGAGAACTGATTTGAGGTTTTGAACATGTTGATTGATATTCTATCTCGTTGATTATTAGTCAATTTTTTGAATTTAATGTGCTTGCAATCGCTGCAGAAATTCAAGCAATAGTCATTAGAGTCTGAAACTGCTCATCGCGTACAGCTTCTGAATTCCAATTTCCTCAGAAATCACGCGCATACGGTGTTTGCATACAGAGTTCAGAGTCCCGAGGTTCTCTTTTTTATTGATTGTATATTGTAAATTTCCGATGAATTTGTCATTCTCATGTAATTTGTTTTAATTTTATTTTGCAAGTACTTCATCGGTCCAACTAGAAAGTTCGAAAATTTGAAGGTAGCTGAAACTCAAAATCGAAATCGGAAGACAGAGGATCGAACATTAGTGTAAAGATGATTAATTAAAATTAGAGAGATTTTTGTTGTTTTTGCGCTTATGAATTTGTGATTGCAGAAGAATTTGAAGAACTTCATGGAGTTTTTTCTCGGTAGCAGTAATAATATGCAAGCTTCCAATGTTCATTCCTTCGACGGCAATGTTTCGCCGATCAACGCTCAGAACTTCATAGGACGAGGCCGTTTCTATCCTGGATCAAAAACTACGATCCTCGATCCTTACTCGTCTTCAGATAGTAGTGGTAGTTCTTCCAATAAAGTCTCTCCGCTAGCCCGATACCTTTGTCCAAGCTCGCCGGTGCCTTTTATTAGCGATTCTCCAAAGCACCGTTCTCTGGTCAGTACTAGCAGCGGAAGCAGAAGCGGCTGCGGCGGTGGAGTTCCCCGTTCGCCTCTAGCTTCAGTAGAGAACTTTGAGATTCCGCTTATGTTCAGAACTCCAGTGAAGGTCGAAGAGGATGTGGTAGTCATGGACGGTATTCTGGTTGAGGCGAAACATGGTCCGAGAGCTAATAAATTGTCACCGTCGACATCAGATTCAGGTGGACGGTTGTCTTCGTCGACACCGGCAAACGACAATAGCGTTCATAAATCGGAAACTTGTCGGTGGTGGGAGGATTCAGGCACTTGCCGCTTTGGTTCCAAATGCCGGGTCTCTTTCTTCTCTCCTTTTAAAGAAATATGATCCGAATGCTTTTGGAATATTCGTGCAGTCATGTACGGTTGAGATCAACTTTCTAATTTTGACAGTGATCTCAACCACAAAATTTCTTATTAGTCAAACTTCACTAAAATCCACAACCCTTACCAGTTCTAAACATTTATTATTGCTTTAATTAAACAGTTTGTACACGGGAAAGAAGATTTACGCTCAACTGCTTTCGCCAACAGAAATCAATCTGAGGTATTATTAACAATTGAACCAAATGTATTTACAGCTGATTTCTTCTTTTTTATGATGATAATGCATCCATCAAAATTCATGGTGATCACCTTCACATGGTTATGTTTGTAGGCACTGCTCTGCAGATCATACACTTCAGGACCATCTTCTTATGGACCACGGGGCCGATCTGTTCATCAGCAGGTCCACTCAGCCGCGTCTCCAGCAAAAGCAGCAAAAATGTCCACCCCAACCACGACTTCTACTACTACTCTTAAAGTGTTTACTAAAGACAAAGATCCCTCAAGCAGCGACAGTAGCACCTCTTCCACTCCCACCAGTAATATCTCTTCCACTGACTGGTGTCCCCTGGATGACAATATCGAGGTTACCTTGCCTTCTTCCGGTGAAAAGTGTGCTTCCAGGGAAGATGTTAATGCTCATATACAGACTGTTCTCTATGGCCCTTCTGGAAGAAAGAGATTGCTGGCATGCATTGACTTAGTTGAGGAGTAGATAGCCATATTAACAAGTCTCAGTTCAACCCATCAATTCTCAATAAAGGTAATCAAGAGCTGTTAGTTACTTCCTTGTGTTCAAAAAGGGTTGTAGGTGCTTTTGTTCTGTTGCGTCCTGAAATTACTATCATAACCAAGACAATACTCTCAAATAATATCTAGTATATGAATGGACAACTGAGCATATATCATACAACATAGAATTGCTGATAGTATTTTGTCTAGGACATAAAATAAAACAGGAAACATACCAATAGTCGATCGGAAGTGTTAGGATCTTGTTTTTGAATTGCTTTCCTGAATGTTGAGCTTTTGTATCAAAGATCCAGTTAATTACATCACCTGGCATATTTCACTGATAATCCCTGAATACTCTGAGACAGCTTAATTACGAACCAATTAAGTGGGATGTTTTGTTTTAGAAAAACAAATGAGGTTTTTTTTTTCTTTCTAAACATCCATCTACTGAGAGAGAGATACTAAATTTGCTTTGATCCTTGCCTTGTCAAGATTGTATTTAGGCAGTCTTCTGCAATTGTACAGTTTCTTTTGTTGTGCTAGTATATTTCATTTTACATTGTAAAACAAGTGAGAGGGGAGAAACTTCCTGGAAAACACTAGTCTCGAATTGGTAATTTGTAATTCAAATTGTGGTATCTTGACCATTAAGGAAGTATCAGGATTTAAATTCATATTCAAAGTGTGACGTCTTGACTATTGACTTGATTTTGTGCTAGTATTTGAAGCTGGTATAAGGTTCACAACATTAGGTTTAAATTAGTTAACTCTGTTGATAACAAAATCAATTTCTATAGGTTTAGTAGCTCAAGTGTGTAGGTTTACATAGAATTGCTGGTCGTCCTTACAGTGTTCTTAGCTATAAAACAGTCCTGAAAGTTGGCGTTTATGGGAAAAAGAGGTTCAGACTTCAGATCCCTTTTTTATTGGACAAAATATCCAAAACTAAACACACATTTGCCTGCGTGCATTATTACTGTAATGTAGTAGTTAATAGCAGTAATTATTATTCTTAGTGTGATATTTTCCAACTTCTTTTCCATGTTAACCTTGGTTTCAGTCATCCATTTGAATCTCGCCTCTTGTGGGTAGCAAGTCTGTCATTACTATTCGAGGAAGTAGGCTTGTTGGTGTTTATCATTGTACTAGCCGTATTATTCTTGCTTATATTATCTATCATCATTTGTTGTTTAACGTGTAGCGATGTTCCTTCCATGTAGGCTTTGCACTATTTTCTTTGTTAGTTACTATGTTTTCTACACTACTTTCTTCTCCTTTGTATTTGGATTTGTTACTCTTGAGTTAAGGTCTTTGGGAAACATCCTACCTCTATGAGGTAGTGGTAAAAGATGTGTACACTTCATCCTCCCTAGCCTCCCACTTGTGGGATTTCATTGGGTATGTTGTTGTTGGTTAGCAAGTTCGTGTATCCTTTTTTGGAATATCCATAGTCATAAGTTCAAATTGCTCCTCGATAAACCTGAATCTCTGCTCTTTGTCACCAAATTGGCTGAAAAGATTTTTCTATGTTCAAGATAACTACCTCAAATTTAAATGATTCAGCAGATGCATACCATAATTTACTTTTTAGGCTAAGATTAAGAAGTCATTGCTCTGGTTTGAGCTGAAATGCCTATTTGTTCCTTTTTTTTTTCAGTTTTCATAGGAGTGGGCTCATGAATAGGGAAAAGTAGATGGAAGACCATTTTTATGGATGCAAGCAAAGAATTTTCATTGGATAAAGGATGTTTGGCATTATCCACCTTCCAATATATAAGATGTCAATCATGCTTGGCCATTAGAATTCTGAAATAGAACTTCAATTTGAATTTTGGGATTTAAAAATATCAAAAAGATTTTCTGACTTTTTCATTTCAAATCACAGCAAAATTCAAAATCAATTTCAATGAGCATCAATGGGCTAATTGCCGAACACACCTCTATTTTCAAATGTGATTTTTCCGTCTAAAAACAAAATATTACTTTTTCAAATTTCACATTTTACCTAGCCAATCTGGCCAAGTTCACCAGCATTCTCGTGAAAATACATAGTATATATTCATTGGATCGAAAATGATCACACACTACACCACAACCACATAAATAAACTATTGATAAAGACGACATAACAATGGAAGATGATAAAGTTTCGTTTACTCAAAACACCAATTCACTATCAAAATAAGATCTCCACAAAAGTGGGGATGTACCAAAAAAGTGACCAATTTCCTTTTGTTCATGCCTACACAATTAAATAGAAAAAAGTTCAGGGCAAACACTCATACAAAGTATTATTTGTAGCATTATCACTTATGCATATTTGATGCAAAAATTATGCTACAACATTCCAATGAAATACCTAACACGTAAAATTCAATCATATCAAGTTGTAACGAATTTACTACTCATCAAAATCTACCACAAATGAAGTGAAGGCCGCTTTGATCAAAGAGGTCTAACACTCGAGTCCAATTTCATTGCAGTGTGTTTATGTCCAAGTTTTAGCTAGCGTTTACCAATAATTTTTCAAATACTTTTGGTAAGCCAAATTCGGATGAAGTTTAAGCATGCGTTTGACTATACATTTTGGGAGAAATATTATTTTTGTAAAAAAATATGATTATATTCATTAATTCTAAAAACTAATAAAAATATTCGTAAATTTGTATTGTCATTTTATAATGTTGACACATAACCAGCCCATAATGAATAGGGAAGATATTGAACATGTTTCGTAAAAGGTCATGACAATGAACACAATTGATATGAATCTATAAAAAAAAAAAGGAAGAAAATAAAAGAGAAATACCATCGATTTGTATTAAAAAAAGAGCTACTATTACTTGTAATTGAAAGTAACTTCGAAGATAAGTTAGGATAAAAATAGTATAAAATATGTATATAATTAAATATCAATTCTGTACAACAGGACTCAGCCCAACACTATAAATGATGAGTCTTTTTATAAAATTTTAAAGTTTGAACTAATTTTTAAAATTTTAAAAGTCCCAAAAAGATATAAAAAGTAGTTGGCCCAAATAGTTTTTCTGTTCTAGTATTAAAAATTGGGATAATTCTATATAATAGCAACCTAATAACCTAAAATAAATGAAGTAGCTACGGTTTGATTTAATTATGCACCATAGCAAACGTTTACCAAAGTTTATCAGTTGCCTCTCTTCCAAAAATCTCGTTCGCCACTCTCTCATTTTCGTTCGTCACTCTCCCTCTGCTCGTCTCTCTCGCTTTATACACGGAAGTGTATAATTGTGTTTCTATTTTGTATAAAGCGAGAGAAAATTGTATATACACATGCAAAAACATATATCTTCGTGCTATACACTTAATTATACAATTTACTAACATTTTACTTCGATTCAATTGTAGACAAATGCAAATTTTATACAAATATTGCAGCGAAAAAGGCCTACGAATTATACAATTGCGAATTATACAATTGTAGTGAAATACAATTTTCTCTCGCTTTATACAACAGAAGTGTATAAATTGTGTTTCTGTTTTTGTATAAAGCGAAAGAAAAACATACATCTTTTTTGTATAAAGCGAAAGAAAAACATATATCTTCTTCGTATACACTTATAATTATACAATATACAAACATTTTTCTTCGATTCAATTGTATGCAAAGCAAATCTTATACAAATATTGCAGTGAAATAGGCAGCGAACTATACAAATGCGCATTATACAATTGCAGTGAAATAGGCTAGTCAATTATACAATTGCAGCGAAATAGGCCAGCGAATTATACAATTTAGGCCAACGAATCATACAATTGTATGTGTATAGCGAGACCAACGAATTATACAATTTGGGCCAGCGAATTATACAATTGTATATGTATAGTGAATTATACAGTTATATGTTTGCTATGGAGCACAATTATGCAAACTTTGCTATAGCATATAATATGAATTTTTTGTTTGTTATATGTGAAAGTTGCCCAAATTTTTTCAATTGTTTTCCAAAAATATTTATCAAATAATAACAAATTTTGTGGCCAATCAAAATTTGCCAAAGTTTTTTCACAAATATTTTTAAAAATATCTATGACCTAGCAGGTCCTTAGTATATTCCTAGTGGTCTGTGCTAGATGGTGTAAATTTGCACCTGTTAGTGCTCTATAAATTTTTTGTCGAGGATACTTTGCGATTTTACTATATAATAAATCAAATTTTAGTAGATGTTTGGACATAAATTTGGTTAAAACTTGAGAAAAGAAAGTTTCTTTTAGTTGATATTGAAAAATGATATTTGAAAGTTAATGTTGTATTTGAACATTCATTTCATTTGAAAAAAAATAAAAGTCTTGAAAGAGTGATCTTCCACTGTTAACAAAAAAGAAGAAGAAGGCATAATCGGTTTTCTCCTTTTTCATGGAGGAGAGTTAGGGGTCGAAATAGTTCCGTCATTAGCAATAACACCAATCTCGAGAATAGGATAATCACATGTTGTACCGCACCAATCACTAGGGTGTATAAAATCGAACTCAAAATTGAATCAAACTGCAAATTGAGTCAAATAGAATAAAAAAATCGATTAATGATTTGATTTGACTTGATTTGGTATTGGAAAAAAAATTCGACTATACTTGGATTGATTTGGTTTTAATTAAAAAATGTCAACCCGAGACCAAACTTACCTGACATTATATATCTAATTTTTAAAATTTATTTATACATAAAGGTATTTGCTTTGATGTAATTTTTAAATATTGCTTATACGGTTTCATAATTTTTATCTTTTAACATATTGTTTTTCAAGTTTTTAAGACATAGAATTTTGATGGTCCTATAAAGGTTATAGCTCATATATAACAGTAACTTTAATAAAGCTTAATTCAAAATCAAATCAATATTCTGCTAACAAAATAGATTGAGAAAACCCCTTTTCCCCCAATCTATACCCGAAATCTCAACTACACACTTCAATTTTATGGGTGTCCTATTACCCACTTAAATTTTATATTTCTCTATTTTCTGCACACATTAGTGTTGACCTCAACAGATAAAGCAAAAATTTAGTCCAACATGATTCCACGCGCTAGGTCCCCCGCCTCTTCAACTCCCATGTCTGGTTTTTTCTCCATTTCCCACCTAAAATGTGAAAGACCCAAAAAATCTGCTTTCTCCATTTTCATCTCCTTCTCCATTTGCAATGAATTTCTGGTGATCATCAAACAATTTTGCTGTGTATTTTTAACTTCATTTCGTAGTTTATCAACTGATTTAGTAAAAGATTAGTTCTTTATCCCTTATTTCGAGTTTGTGCTTTATCCCCTAGGATATTTGTTGATTCCTGAAATTAAGAGCAACATTGTGTGAAATCTCATATGTGGCTTACGATTATAGTGTAAGGTGTTCATTTACACTATATCATACCACATTTTTCATGAAATTAGTTTTTTCCTTTCTCGTCTAAGTCGCATAATTTTGTATTTCTGTTCGTCTTAGTATGATGTCATGGAGTGTTGTATAAATTTCTTCTAAGTATTATGTTCATATAGAAACTGCTAGTCCGTTACTGTATTCTATTTATGTTCATAGAGAAGCTAATGTTAGTATTTGTATTTATTTTTGTCTTAGAAGGAGAGAGATAATGTATTTTTTGTGTCAATTATATTTTGAGGAAAATAGGCAAAGTTGAGTGATATTTTAGTCCTAAAACAAAGGGAAAATGCATAAGTACCCCCCTCAACCTATGTCCGAAATTTCAGAGACACACTTATACTATACTAAGTTCCTATTATCTCCTTGAACTTATTTTATAATTAATTTTTTACCCCTTTTCGACCTACGTGATACTAGCTTGAAAAAAAAGTCAACCAGCGTTGGGCCCACAAAATAGTGTCACGTAGGCCGAAAAGGGATAGAAAATTATTAATAAAATAAGTTTAGGAGGGTAATAGGACCTTAGTATACTATAAGTGTGTCTCTGAGATTTCGGACATAGGTTGAGGGGATACTTGTGCATTATCCCATATAAGTGATACTTCTAAATAGTTTTTCAAACACAGGTGACTCTCTAGGATAATTACTCGTAAATTTACACCTGTTAGTGTTCTATTAATTTTTTGTCGAGGATACCTTGCGATTTTACTATATAATAGATCAAATTTTAGTAGATGTTTAGACGTAAATTTGGTTAAAGTTGAAAAATGAGAGTTTTTTTAGTTGATGTTGAAAATGGTATTTGAAAGTTAACATTTAATTGGACATTCATTTCATTTGTAAACAAATTAAAAGTTTTGTGAGTAAAAAACTGATCTTCCACTATTAATTTAAAAAAGGGGCATAATCGGTTTTCTCCTTTTCCATGGAGGAGAGTTCGGGACCGAAAAAGTTCCGTCATTAGCAATAATACCAACCTCGAGAACAGGATCACCATGTGTTGTTGTACCTTAGCAATCACAAGGGGTGTACAAAATTGATCAAATCACAAATCGAGTCAAATCGAATAAAAAATCTGACTAATGATTTCATTTGACTTGATTTGATATATGAAAAAAAATTCAACTATACTTGGGTTGGTTGATTTTGATTAAAAAAAGTTAATTCGAGATCAAATTAACCCGACATTATCTATATACTTTTCAAATTTT